ATCAGAGTAGTTAAAGTCTCCCATTACTACTGTGGTATGTTTCCTACATACATTTGTTAGTTGTTTAGCAAAGAGTTCATCTATTTCTTCTGCTTGGTTGGCTGGTCTGTAGTATACGCCTATAGCAGTGCCATTCTTTTTTCCTTTTATATTGAGCCATATGGATTCTAGGAGATTTTCATCCTTGGTTTTGGTTTTGTGGATTTCTGTAAAAATGTGGTGATCTTTTATATATAATGCAACTCCATCTCCTCTTTCGTTGGGTCTGTTTCTTTTGAATGGCTTGTATCTTTCCATCAGTGCATTCCAGTCATGAGTTTCATCCCATTACGGCAGGGATGTCAAACTCAATTTCATTGAGGGCCACATCAGCATTGCGGTTGCCCTGGGGGGGGGCGGCCTACTGGGTGGGCGTGGGTGGAGTGGGTGTGGCCTACTGGGTGGGCGTGGCCAGCTCTACATCATTCGCATCAAGGGTGCCTGTGGGGGCCTGGGCAGGAGTGGGACAGATCTGAGGGTCTCTGGCAGAAAGGGGAGGGACCAGGGCAGAGCCCATCAAGCCGGATAGGTGAAGCAGGCGAGGGCCATTTGCTGGCCACTTCCAGGCGATGNGGGGCCGTTCCCTCACTGTTTCCAGGATGGCTTCGCGGGCCACATGAAACCACTTCGCGGGCCGCATCCGGCCCCCGGGCCTTATGTTTGACATGTCTGCATTACGGGTTTCAGTAATGGCAACTATATTTGAACAAAAACAAAGGTGCTCTGTTTCTCACCCCACGGTGGGCAGGGGGGCTCCTTGGGGGTCCCAGCTGCTGAGGATGCATGTTGCCCTTTGCCAGAGATGGAAACTGCCTCCTCGTCCAGGCTGGTTGGAGCATCAAGGCTTGGGAACCCGGGTTTGCTAAAAAGGGGCACAGCGCCTGGACAGAAGGGGCAGCGCCTAGAAAGCACGCAGTTGATCTTCTGTTCCTCATTAGCCACCTCGATCAAAATGTCTGTGTGGTGTTTACATGGTGTCTGTTGAACACGTGTGTGTCGGGTAGACCTTCTTGGCAAAGGAAGGGAATGTCCACCTTTAGCTGGCTGGTGTTTGCTAGCCGGTGTTGATGCCCCCTTTCTGAGCCTTTGAGTCCTTGACCTAGGGTCAAATTGGAACCAGATTTTCTGTTGCAAAGCCAGGTGGTTCTTAAGTGAGTCACGCCCAATTTTATGACTTTTTTGTCACGGTTGTTATCTTCAGTTGTTAAGCGAATCATGCAGTTGTTAATTGATTTTGCTTGCCAAAAGCTGGCTGGGAAGGTTACAAATGGCAATCAAGTGTCCCCAGAACACCGCAACTGTCCTTAATACATGCCGGTTGCCAAATGGCCAAATTTTGATCACGTGACCCTGGGGATGCTGTGACTGTTGCATATGAGGAGCAATTGTAAGTGCTGTTGTAACTTTGAACAGCCACTAAATGAATGGTTGTAACTCTGAGACATCGTATTGATGGGAGTTCGCGTAAGGCCAAGAGATGCCCCCTTTAAAACTCACCCACTTTTTGCAGGAAGGGGTTGGATGGGGAAGCTGGGTTGTTTTCCACCCACCCCTCTTTCGGGGCAAAACCAATCCCCACCCTGGAGGGAGGCAAAGAAATGCTCTCTCTCGTGTAACCGCCCGTGCGCTGCATTCTCTCCTCCACGGGCTGAGTTGTAGACTTGCTCTGCTTATTGTGGCTTCGTGTGCAAAGTGGAGAACTAAGCCCCTGAAGCATCCCAGGGAAACCCAACCATGGGGCTGATCACACATCAGCTGTGCCTAAAGTAAGTCACCCACATCACTCTTGGCTTCAGGCCCCAGTCTGTGGAAGGGCTGCCTCTGCTCTGGGCAACCTGGGCTGGGGGCTGGGCCTGGGGCCTGGGGAGTGGAACTGAGCCTGACTTGGGGACAGTAGACCAGCTATTTGTGAGGCGGCCGAGGGCCCAGGCGCAACCCCAGGATGCCCGTGAAAGGGGCCCCTTCCGCCCCCTTGTAATCCAGGTGCGCATTGCATTCCAGGGCTGAAGGTTTGCACCCTCCCCGTATTTGCCCTGCTGTTGAACCCCTGGGAAGCTCCCCCCTCGCCTTAAGGCTGGAGGAAAGCAGGTGGGTGAATGCGAGCTTTGCTTAGTTGGAGGGTGGGCACACCTGGGCGTGCAATCAAAACCGTACATGCTGAGACGGGACTCGCTGGCTTCTGCCGTAGATGTTATTCTCCAGGAAGGCTCCTGGAAATAAGCCAACCCTCTTATCATCGAGGTTGCCATCTTCTGACAAGGCAAAATTGCCCCTTGCTGTGCCTGGACATCCTGGCCCTTTTCTCCGCAGAAAACAGCCTGAGCCTTTGGGCCTCCATCTGGCCGGAGACGAGCTTCCTCTCGCTTCCCTTGAGCAGGAGGCTCGGCCTCACCAACTTGTTTACTTTTCAAAACGAGGAGAGATGCTCTCAAAGAAGAGTCCCTGCATGAGTTCCTGAACTTGGAAATAGGCAAGTGCAGCCTTGTCATGGACGGGGCAGGCACAGTGGCCGTGGACAACCCTCTTGCTTGCTGAATAGTACGGCAGGGCCGGTGGTCTGGAGGGTGGCAGCAGGTGGGGGCTGTGACAGGGGAGCCCAAACATGGGCCAGCTGCAAGCAGCAGCAGCAGTAGCAGCTGGATCCGTAGAGGTTTGGGTTCAGGATTAACCTAGGCAGCTCCTGCTCTTACCGCTGGATCGGGCAGCCCTGTGGCACCCCACTCTGCTGCCCTTGTCCAGGGAAGGATGGCAAGGCTCCCTTGAGGAGCACCCCTTCCCACTGGCCAGGCAGGCAGCAGGGCTGTGGGCTGGACAGGCAGCCGGTCAGCCAAGAAGCTTCCTCCGAGTGCCAGGTCTGGCAGGGAGGTTGGCATTCTCAGCTGCTTTGCAACTCGACCTTGTTTTCTCAGAGGACCGACTGGGCAGCACTTGGTCGCCCCCCCCATCAGTGGGTTTGTCCTCATTAAATGTGCCCGGTGGGCAGGAGGGCAAGGCAGGCTGTTCAGTTGGCCGGGCATTGGCAGGCGTGGTGCACTCCACAGCACACTGTGCCTCCCCTCCCCCACACCTGATAAGTAAGTTGTGTGACTCAGGCCTGTGCTGTGGTGGGGAGGAGAATCCAGCACTGACCCTCCCATTTGTGGAGCTGCAACCGATGTAACCGGGAGCTTTGCTGGGCATTCCAGAGCGGTCTCTGCCCCCCTGGCCCCTGCCCTCCTGGCTGCTGCCTCCGTGCCCCTGGCTACCTGGCAGTAGGTTCTGCTGGCCACTCAACTGAAGGCTGTACCTGAGCAGCCGGGGAGGGGGGCATGTGGGACCCTGGTTTGGATTGTCCTTCTCCCCCAAAGGGTTTTTAGGAAAATGGTTGCAGGTGGGTGGTTTGGTTTGATCTTAATTTTGCAAGGCAGCATAAAAATTTGGTAATTTCACATGCTGCGCAGCACAGTGTTGGTTGCAGAAAGTAGACATTTCCAAAAGAAGAACTGATTTGCTTGGTTACTGCATTCATGCTTTTAAAATACTGAATTTTTGATGTGCCTTCGGGTTTACGTTAAAGTGATTTTCCTCCTGCCTTAAAATAGGTCATTTAGTCTGATGCTCTGCAGCTGCAGAAGGAGATTTTTGCAGCATATCAGAGATGACCCAACGGATCGTGGCCACACTGCCCCCCCCATGTCGGAAGGGGAGATGCTCTACAAATGCTCTCTATTTCTACACATCCTACCTCCTCACTGATTCATGGGTGTCAGTGGGGGTGGGGGGACCATTGCTGCCTGATCTGGGCTGAGGTGGGTCACAGTCAAGACGGCCAGCTCCTCCCTTGGTCACCAGTCACCCGCACCTTGGATGCCTCCCAGGAAGCCCATCAGCACAAAACAGACTTCGGGCAGGCAAAATGTCAGGCCCCAATGCAGTGTGTCCCTGTATGTGCATTTACAGGCTCATCTTGGGATGGGTGGGTGTTCTTTATGCCTCTGAAGACCACCCCAGCCCTGCCCCACATGCTCCTTCAGCTGAGCCTGGACTGTCGACCCAAACCAGCTCCCTGGGGACTCTCCCCCCAAGCCCCAGATGCCCAGGCTCTGTCCTCTGTGAGTGTGCGTTGGTGTATGTGTGTGTGTTATATACTGAGGCTGGATGTCTTGAACCCCTGAAAGGCACCCAGCAGCTTTTAGTTGCGTGGGCGGAGGCAGGTGGAGCTGGCCTAGGGAATCAGCCCCCCCCCCCCCGTCAAAATGCACGTCTCCCTATACATAGCCTGAGCTAACTGAATCCGAACGAGGCCTGGGTGCTCTGAATGGAGATGACTGGGATTCTGCTTTGGGTTTCACTCCATTCCCGGGGGGCCATTTTCAGCCCCCCCCAGATGGGCTGAGGGTCAGGAAACGCTGGGCTCCTGCTGGAGCTTCACGGGTGGTTCCTGCATTGGGCCCCACAGCCAAGAACATGGATGGAACCTCCCAGAATGTGCAAAGGGTGAAATTGGGGAGGGGGCTCCCGGGGAGAGAGATCAGGAAATGCTGCCCAGTGAGGGTCCTGAGCAACCTGGCAGTTGAGCCATTCTGGTCAAAGGCTGAAACTTAGGAGATGTTCTCAGTTGTCTCAGTGTGGAAATTCCTAGAGAAAATGTCCACTCCAGCCAAACCAACGACACAAAATTCCGGAGAGTTTCTCTGCCTTGTGGTGAAAGAGGTTTTCATGGCACTATTGATTATGAGGCCTGTTGTGGCCTCTGATGCTTCTGTGCCCCACGTTGCTACACTGAGCCTCTCCCCCCCCCCATTCCAAGAATAGGCCTCTCTAACATGCCACGGACTCCTCTTTCCTTCCGGTTTGAGAGGAGGGTGTTTGGGGTCGGAAGGCGGGAGCCTCGGAAATGCCCCCCTTCTCAACGGGCTTCCTTTCTTTGCTCGACAGATTTTTCCATCCAAGTGAATTCGACCTCCTTAAGTTCTCCGTCCGGCCGGGGGGGCCCTATGGCCACGCCTGCCCTCCACCCCTCCATGGGGCCCAGCCTTGGGGGCCCCTTGGGGTCACCCAGCCAGCTCCACTCGCCCATCAACGGCATGGGGCCGCCCTTCTCCGTCATCAGCTCCCCGATGGGGCCTCATGCCATGTCTGGACCGTCCACCCCCAGCCTCGGATTCGGAGCTGGCAGCCCGCAGGTGAGTCCCCGGCTGGCTGGCTGAGTTGGGGGAGGGGGGATTTGGAGGGGGCACTTCCGAGGGGCTGCTGTGGCCAGTTCCATTCCGAAGGCTGTGGGGGAGGGGGAGTTGCTTAGCCCCCCACCCCACTTTTGCTCCAGGTTGCATGTGCCACCTCAGTCCTCTCCACCTTCAGCCTTGGTGGTGGGGGGGGGACCCAGTTTCGGTCTTCTTGGTGTAGATTTTCTGTGGAATATATTAAATATTAAGAACACATAACTGGGAGATTCTTAAAAAAATCACGCAGGACTGAATGTGCCTTTCATTGGATAAGAATAAATAGGCACCATTGCTGCCCACTGGAAGACATGCTGTGTGTCCTTCCTAGGACTTTCCCCCATAAGTGGCACATTGAGCATCATGTGGGGAGGTGGGGTTATAGCCTGACCTGTCTGGGACCATCTCTCTCTCTCTCTCCCTCTGCACCCCACTGCAGAGAAGACCTCCTTGTCTGGGGGCCTCTGCTGCAGGTGTCTGGGGGTGTGTTGTGTTTCTTCAGAGAAAATGTGCTCTTGCTGAAGATGATGAAGGAGGCTGTGTGAATGGAAGCCTCCTGCGGTATGCCCGAGCTGCAGCCCCTTGGCCTCCCCCCCCAAAGCATCTAGTGCAGGTTCAGGCTTCTTGTCCTCCCCCTGAGTGGGGGAGGGGCCCAAGGGGCATGGGCTACGCTGGAGGGCCAAGGGGCCCTTTCCTCCCCTGGGATACAGCAGGTCCTGCTGGCTAGGCAGAGCTGATGGTGATGTTTTCCAGGGCAGAAACCCTGCCCTGCAGAGACCGAGCCGGGTGCCACCTGTTCCTGGCGCTGTAGCTGGGCTCCCCTTGGCACATTCAGGCAGGGAAGGAGGGGAGGGGTGGCCCAGCAGGGGAGGCCAGGAGGCCCCAAATGTTGCTTGGCCTTGCTGATTCCCAGACGGGTGGCCCTGGGCTGAGGCAAGGGGGTGCAAGAGAGCGGCTTCCTGCAGGCTGAGGGCCCAACCCCTTTCCAAGTGGGGTCTCTGTTTGTTGCAAGGAGGCTGGAGAGCTGGTTGTGCCCTATATTTCCCCATCCCCCACACTATTTTCTGTGCCCTTCTGGAAGGAGAAGCCCCTAAGGGCTCTGAGGGAGAACGCCGGACGCCAGAAGCTCGGTTTGGCTGAGGTCCAGTGCAGAGCCTCTGGCCGAGACGGGCAACCTGACACATGGCCCAGTTCAGCCTACAGAGATTGTGAAGAGTTCTGTTGTTGAGGGCAGGTGGCTTCTGAGCATGCACAGAAGGCTTTCCCAGATGGCCTGCATGGCAGTGGGAGCAGGAGTGACTTTGGGGATTGTTGCATTCAATCCTTAAGTGCCGTCCACCTTGGTCCACCCTTAAATGCTACTGTGGCTCAAGAAGGAGAAAGGGGGGGGGGCATTTCCTTAACCTCCCTGAAAAAGCGGCCTGGGGCATCCAGACACGGGGGGGGGGGGTTGATGTCGGGCAACTCAGGGCTGTTTAATGGAGTGCTGTTGTGTGATTGGGATGGCTTAGGGAGCTTCTGAGCCTGCTGTGACATCACAGGAGTTCAGCCAATGGCTGTGGGCCAGAGAAGCCCAGCGATTGGCTCTTTGGTTTGTCGTGGACTGTCCTTCCCTTTCCAGGAGGAGAAGCTGAACAGGATGCAGGAGGCCAGCCTGGATAGTTCCTCCCCAGGGTCAGAGGGGGAGCACTGAGGTCGGGGGGGGGGCAGGTAGCCCAGGTGCTGTGAAAGTGACCCATCCCCAGGGGGTTCAGCTTTATTCGGTGAGGTCAGTGAGAGGGGCTGCTTTCCTTCCCTTTCCCCGGAAGGGCTTTGCCTTCAGTCCATCCTCGGCCCTGGTCCTGCAATGCAAAGACCGAAAATGAACCAGCTGAGGGAGGCTGGACTCCCCATATCTTGGTCTGCCCACCCCATGGCCCCTTTCTTCCCTCCCCTTCTTGACTCACCTGCCCTCCTCCTCCTCCTCTGCCCTCTGGCAGAGGAACCTAGCATGGCGGGGGGGGAGGAGGGGGAGGGGAGATGGAGTGGGCACCTGTCCAGGGGAGAGCGTCTCCCTCCCTCCCTCCGGCCCATCAGGCGGTGAGTTAATGAAGTGTGTGCCCCATCACTGGTGGGAGGCGCCCAGCCGCTTGCCATGCGCCTCAGCCGCTTCGTTGGAGCTGCGGCCCTTGTGGGTGCTCAGAGGCAGAGGATGGCAAGGGGGGCTGCCTTGGCCCTCCCCTCCCCCCACCATGTGGGAGTTAAATGGGTTTCATCACATGGTACAATTTGGGGCCATCTTGCTGTTTCCCATTGAACTGGTGCCCATAATCTGTGCCCTGTGTTAGAAAATGTTTTGGGGAGCATCTCCTGGCCTGTTTTTATGCTAAAACGGCACGGTGGCTCAGCGGTTAAGGCTCTGGACTTCTGGGCCGGAAAGCCAGCAGCCCAGGTGGGAGACCCGAGCGTCACCTGATGGGGAGAGCTCCCATTCCTTGGCCCAGCTCCCACCAACCTTTGTTTGTAAGCATGCAAATGAAGCACATAAATAGATACCAATTGGAGGGGAAGGTAACGGCGCTCTGTGACATCATGCTGGCCACACGACTGCGGAAATGTCTTCGGACAGCGCTGAAATGGAGATGAGCACCATGCCGCATAGTTGGCAACGACTGGCGCAGTAAAATACGCCGGGACTCCTTTCCTCTGCCTTTTGACCTTTCCTTTTTTATGCTAAGGAAGTGGTTGCCTGTGAAGTGCACACCTCTGTCCATTATCTTTTTCCTTTGCAACAGGTATAATCTTGCAGAATAATGTTCCAATTTTGCTAACTGAGGGGGTCTCCTCTCTTCTGGACTGCTACCCCCAGATGCTTCCTGCTCAGCCTTCTTGCTCAGACCCTGACCTGCCAAAGATCAGTCTCAATACAGGGTGCATTGTTCTTAGAAACACACGTGTGGCGGTCAGGGCCAGCTCTCTCACCGTTTAGGTCTGAGGTCTGAGGACTGAACTGCTTATTTATGTAAAAAAGCTCATCCAATCTTTGGCTGCAGAGCTGGGGAATTTGAGCTGATTGACCGGCCAGCACCCCCCTCCCTTCCTTTGCCCACTCACTTCAGGGGCACCAGTGCTGCGCCTCTTGCCCTGTTTGGGTCAGAAGCTCAAGCTTGGAGCAGGCAGGTTGGAGCAGCCCTGGTGGCTCCCCCGTTGACTCCTTCACTGCCCTCTTTGCTCTCCACTCAGTGGGTTGGGCAGCCTCCCTGGCTCCCTCCCTGCCCTCTCACTGCACCCCCCAGTGCTGGCCAGACAGAGGCTTCCTCTCCTGTACTACTCTGTACTCTGTACTACTACTACTACTACTACTACTAACTCTATACTACTACTCCCAGGGAGCAAGGGGAATTGTGCCACGTGCCAGATACATTTTGCTCATTGTCTCCTGGAGTTGGGCAGCTCATACATTTAAATAGATAGCTCTACAAGCAAGTTCCAGATAATTCCCTCTGACAAGAGCCAGGAGCGGGCAAGGCTCAGGGACACCAGATAGTGCCAGGGAAAGGGCAGTTGCTCATTGCCCAGAGGATGCACAGACCAGTAGTGCACAGCCAGACAGGCTGGCACCATCTTTGGAGATACCAGTCTGTGGGGCGCAGTGTCCTTTTCATGACGTTTACTGCACAAATACATCCACAATTGTCCTGCATATTAGGGACACATCTAGAAATTGGGCTTCCACCTGCTGCGAAGGCCTCCAGCGTTGGTTCCCTTTGAGCAAGACAGGCATCCGTGGGCCGGAGGGGAGGGGGCCCCTTCTTTGCTTTCTCCCCTCTGGCTGGAGAGCCCCGGGTGGGCAACGGTCTCTCCTCGGTGCCCTGCTGGGACGCCTCTTCCTGCCCCTCTGCGCACAAGGAGGCCTCTCCCCTTTGCCCGGGACTTCTTTTTCTTTTTGGACCGTCTCTTCAGGTGGGCCAGCTGGAGGCCTTCCGTTCAGACCAAACCCAGAAAGAAGAATGAGAAATGAGATGAATCCAAGTCAGAAAGACCCGTTGGAGGACCTCCTGAGGGGAAACGTCTGGCAGAGTGGGGAGCCGTTGGCACCAGAAACCCCAAAATGTCTGTCCAGGAAGCTCCTCTCAGCCGGCCGTGACTCTGGGCTTTCCGGCTTCCAGCCCCCTCCCCACCTTCCCCAGCGGGTGGGCTGCCTGTCCCCCACACCCCATGTGTGAGCACCTCGCATCAGTGCCTGAAAGCCTCACCCTGAGAGGCAGCAGGGAAATGCTGCTGGAAATATGGACTCCCCCAGCCCCCCCCCCCCCCGCTTCATTAGGGTGCTGGAGAGGGTCTTTTCCGGAAACGGGTGGGGGTCTCTGCGCAAGGTCTCTGCAGTGCAACCTGCTAGGGCTTTGCCTAACAGATGGGGCCGCCACTTGGCAGCCTGGCTGCTTCTGTTTCCCTTGAGGAAAGAGGGGTCCTAACTCCCCCCCCCCAAGAGGAAGGGATCCCAAGTGGAAGAGCCCCACGGCCCAGAAGGGTCTCTCCATCTTTGCTCGGGCCCTCTTCCGGAGGGGGGTGGGTAGAAAGATTTTGCTGACGGAAGAGCAGAGGGGCGGAGGGGGGGGAGTTACCCCTTCTTCACCAGGGGAATTTCAGGCTCCCCTGAGAGGCCTCTTGAGGGGAAGAGCAGCCCTGGCTCTCCGGTCTCGGGGTCTGAGTGTGTGTCGAGACCGGACACCCGTCTTCTCGGTCCCCCCACTGGGTCCTCACCCTGGGCACCCTGGCACCGCACGAGTGGGAGAGGAGAGCTGCTGGCGCCTGGTGGGGAGGAAGGAAGCAAAGTGGCGCCAGGCTGGGCCAAAAGGGGAACCCCTGGTGGTTGTGGGGGTGTCCCCTCCGGAAGCTCTGAGTCAGCAGCTGCTCCCGGGAGCATCAGGGCAGGCTGGGCAGAAAAGCACCCCCCCCCACATGTCCTTCTCTCTGTCTCCTCCAGTGGAGCATCTCCCCCAAGCCCCCTTCACCCCGCCCCCAGAGAGGCCGTCCGTGGAGTTTTTGTGGGGTGACAGATGCAGGGAGGGTGGGAGTGGGGGGTCTCCTCGCTGGCCAGAGTCCCCCCCCCATCAGAAGCTCTTTTGTGCTCTTCACCCCACAGGCTCCCCGGGACTGGCATGCAGAGGGTGGGGAGAGCATCCTGGTTTTAGTGGAGGGGGGGGTCTCGTGTTCAGGCATAGCAAATGCATGCTGGTGTTTCGAAGGTTAATGAGACAATTGCTTTGGGCTTTAATGATTATCTGATATCTCAGAATTCTGTATTGTTCCTACAGCGTCTTGAAATATGTTGGTTCTTTCATGAGACCCGAAGGGGATTAGGCTGCTTCTCTGCCCCTCCCAGTCGTATCAAGAGCCGCGGCTAAGACTGCCTTTGCTTGAATACTTGCTTAAATAATGTTCATTGGAAACCCAAATAGCTGCTGCTGCTGCTGGGCCCCACTTCCTACCAGGCTCCTGACCTCCAGGAAGTGGGGAAGGGCCCTGGGCTTCGCCCCTGGCACAGACACCCCTGTCTCTCTGGCAGCTGAGCTGAGCGAGCGGGGAATTTGGCAGGAGGAAGGAAGGAAGGAAGCAGCCGTAGGAAGAGCAGCCATGTCTTCACTGGGGATTCTTGGCTCTGCCCAAGCACTGCTGCCCACGAGGGGCCCGCCCGCCACCCAGCAGCCAGGGAGGCACGTTGGGGCCCCACGTGTTTGCACACAAAGGAAAGCAGCAGGCTAGATCTCCCCCTTTGGAGCCTGCGCATCCCCAGGCCTCTGGCTTCCCCTGAGGGGCCGGGTTCCTGCTTGACTCCTGCAGTGAAAGCGCCCCAGAAGAGCAAGAACGGCAGCACTTGCACGGGACACCCCGCTTTCCTTTCCGTGCTTGCTCCCCTGCTGATGTCAGCTCGGTGTGAGGAGCATTTGGGGCTCCCAGCGAATCCGGGCTACGGGGACTGCCTTCCGTTGGTCTTCGCCCTGCATTTCAGGAGAGCCGGCATTTCCCAGAAGGTGGGCTGGGGGGAGCAGGAGGGGGTCCGCAGCTGATTGGCTGTGGGTTAACTTTATGCCAGGGGTAGTCAACCTTGGCTCTTTTATGACTCGTGGACTTCAATTCCCAGAATTCCTGAGCCAGCTAAGCTGGCTCAGGAATTCTGGGAGTTGAAGTCCACGAGTCATAAAAGAGCCAAGGTTGACTACCCCTGCTTTATGCTGAACGTTGCGCTGCGCACTCCCCTGACAGGCTGGATTGGGGCTGCACGCTCAGCCCCAGCCCTGCAGGAGAGCTGCAGCTAGAAGCAATCTCTGCCTAATTCAGCTTCTCCATCTTAATATGGGAGGGAGCCCATTTCTTACTTAATTTTTCTGGTTTCTGAGCTTTTGTGCCAGACCTCCCCAGATCTGACCCAGTTTGGCAGTTTGGGCTCTGTGACTTGAGGGCTTTCCATAAAATGAACTGCCTGCTGTCACTGCGTCCAGAGGTGGGAAGTCACCACAGTTGACCAAGTCTGGCTGCTACACAAACACAGCAGCCTTTCCGTCCCAGCACCAGGCCGCCATGAAGCTGCTCCCGGACCCAGACCGGAACCCCCAGCCAGGAGCTGCCAGCCAGGACTGGAGCCCGAGAGGTTTTATGGTGGAGCCCTTCAGGCAGGCAGTCACCAAAGGTGGGCACGGATGGGACAGGAGAGGCCTGTGGAGGGAGGAGCAGGTCGCCTGCCTTGGGAATTTTGACTGAGACCAGGAGTGGCTGCATAAGTGGAACGAACCTAATAAACGTTCGGAAATGCATTTTCATAGAAATGCAATTCATGTTACTGAAAGAAATAAAGAATATTTAATACAAATCTACTCCTAAGCTCTTTTAGCTGAATCTGTCTGCAGTGTTGGTTTCATGTGATGGGGGGGAGGGGAAGAAGGATCCTGGCCTTTTGGCACGGGACCAGCCCAGTCAGGAGGTCTCCCCTCACCCTGGGCAGAGCGGGGCCTGGCCCGGTCTGGCAGGCCGAGGTTTTCCCTTCCTCTTTTGTGGCGGGAAGAGCCGATTCTCACTTCCCAAACAGGCACGGGAGCCAGGAGATCGGATTCTGCTGAGGGCGGCATTTTTCGAGAGACAACAGGGCGGTGAAAAAAGCTCACAAGCCACATTAGATCTGGGAAAATTCCTTGGGAAAATGTGAAAGTGGAGATGCAAACAGACATTAGAAGAAAGCGCTTGAAAAGATGCACGTTGCCAACTGGGGTGGACATCAGGAAAATGAAAAATGGGGTCAGCGCAGAAATGGCAGGAAGTGTCTCCCCTCCCCAATTTGCGTGAGCAAAGCTGTTCACAATGCAGAAATGGATGCCCCTCCCCAGCCTCGGCCCACTGAGAAGTCACTCCTCCAGGGACTCTGTGTGTGTGTGTGTGTGTGTGTGTGTGTTGCTGGGTGCTTTGGGATCAGCCAGGCCTCCCTCCTTAGCTGGGCTTTCCATTCTGAAGCTGCCATTCAAGCTGGCCCATCAGCTCCAGAAAAGGGGAGGGGGTCAAGGGAAATGGCAGTCCTGGCTGCCCAGCACTGGGCCAGGAATCCTGAGGACTTTGGGGTTTCGGGGTTTCTAACCACGGCCTCCTTTTCTTGCCCCCTTTTCCTCCCAGCTCAACTCCCCCCTGAACCCCGTGAGCAGCACAGAAGACATCAAGCCCCCCCTGGGCATCAACGGGGTTCTCAAAGTGCCAATGCACCCCTCCTCCATCATGCCCGCCTTCACCAAGCACATCTGTGCCATCTGTGGAGACCGCTCCTCAGGTAATGCCAACCTTGCTCTGTTTCTAGCTGGCATCACTGCCCTGCCAAGGTCTCTGCTCCCAGTTAGTCTTCATCGGCCCGCTTGGCAGGGAGGGCATTTTCCACTAGTGGGTGTGACTAGCCAAGGGCTCTCCTCCCTCCAGCATGAAAGCCCCCAAGCAGACAGCAGGTGGGCTCTCCCTGCCTGGCGGGACGGGGGGGATGTCAAGCTGGGCAGCTGAATCTCTCCCTTCTCCCCACCCCCTGGGGTTGGTGCCTTCGTTCTGCGTGGGCATCGCTCCTGTCCCCATAACCTCTGACCGAGTGCCTCCCTGGGTGGCGAGAGGGCTCCTCTGAAAAAGGAACAGGCTGGCACTTGCCATCCCTGCGCCAGACGGCCAGCCAGATGCTGAAGGGAAACATCTCTTGGAGGCAGCCCTCCCTCCCACTTGCCCTGCCCTGCCTGTCCCGCTTCCCCTTCCCACTGGGTCCCGGTGCCAAGCGGGACCTCCTTCCTTCCCTACCAGCCCCGTCTGTCTCCTCCCCCCACCCCCAGGCAAGCATTACGGGGTATACAGCTGCGAGGGCTGCAAAGGCTTCTTCAAACGGACGGTGCGAAAGGACCTGACCTACACCTGCCGGGACAACAAGGACTGCCTGATCGACAAGCGCCAGCGGAACCGGTGCCAGTATTGCCGCTACCAGAAGTGCCTGGCGATGGGCATGAAGAGGGAAGGTGAGGCCAGGGAGCGCTAGGACCATGGAGGAGCAGTCCTAATTTGGAAGGCTGCCCCTTGTGGTGGTCAAGGAATCATAGAATGGAAGGGCTAGAAGGTGATTTGAAGGTCATCTAGAGTAGACCAACTTCCTCTCAACTGGACAGTTATATTGTTTTCACATTTATCCATTGACAGTGCAGAATCAGTCCCCCCCCTTTTTTAGACATTGCCTTGTACCTTGTTTATGTGCTGTTTGATATAAATGTCAGGCCTGCCCCACTCAGATCCCTACGCAAGAAAGACCCTCTACTCCATTGGGTTGAAGTGATCGGTTCTTTTACTAAGGATTAGTGGTTGCAGTGAAAGCAAGGCTAGGTCTGAATATTCCCGCACAAAGGTTACACTTTCCCCCTTTCCGTGGCCCTCCTCCCTTTGTCTCTTTCATCGGTGTCCAAGTGTCCACTAGGAAGCTGCTCAGATGTTTTAGGAACCACTTGGATGTTTGGCGCGTCTCGGTGCAATTTCTCACTCCGCTCCCAGGCTAGGTGTCCTTGGTGGCTGCTTCATTCTGGTGTGGTATGATGGAGGGGAGTCCGGGCTGAGAACTGCAGTGCCTGACCCAGGACAGGCAAGGAGCCCTGCACGCTCAGAAAAGGAGGACAGGAGTAAGCAGAGTTTTCGTTAAGCAGGAGCACTGCCTGCTCAGTGCAAATCAGTTCGCATCCCTTCTTTTATTCCTCACATCTCTACATTTTTCCATGATTTCATTTTGCATCAGTGTCCATCCCGTGACCACAAGACATTGCGTTTTGGTGTCCCTCCCATTCTCTTTGAAATATTTGGATGTGATCATAAGGACTAGGGTTATACAGGCTTTTTTATATATGTGATGAAGTGGATTTCATAGTTTTGGAATTCCCAGAAAGCAACTTTGGCACCGTCCCTTCTCCTCTTCACGTCCTTGAAAGCCACCAGGAAGCAGCTCCCTTGTCTAGGCTGAGAAGAAGGCTGGGCCTGGTTGCACCCTCGGCCGGTGAAGCCCCTTCCCCAGCCATGCATCTCTCCTGGTCTTGGGATGCTCCGGCTTCCTGCAGCGCGTGCCTTTCCCCCCCTCCCTGTGGGACATTCCTCCTCTCTCTGTGGCCTCTTCCAGAATTTCTGACTGGGGTGCAGGGGTGGGAATTCCCAAGGAGAGCATTCAGATGGGGGGGGGGATTAAGCCAGCTGCCTGCCAGATGTAGACTAGACATGTCAGCCCTTCAAGGTAGACAAGATTAGGAAACAAAGTCAGCATGCTAATACCACTCTTATGGTAAGGGTGCAATAGCAGAATCTTACAACTCTGAATGTGCCTCCCCTTCGCTCCCTTTATGCTCCTGAGAACCAGGGAGGGTCTCCTCTCAGACGCTCTCTCAGATTGCGTTTCTGCCCAGGACTCGGATTTCTTTTATCTGACCATCGTCTTGGTAGCGGCTCTTCCTCAAGGTCATTCCTGCTGGTCATTGCAGGACAAAGCAGCCATGTCTGCAGGCCCTACAGGGCTTTTCGCCAATTGGATGAGCAGTGGGGGGTCCTTGGTGCTCTCTGAGCTTGGTTGTTTTCTTACAGACATTTCGTGACCCAACTAGGTAACATCATCAGTGCTAGAAGGGAGGGGGGTTTGCTCTCTATCTGTATATACTTTCCTTTTCAGCAAACTCTGCCCTGTGGCTGGCTCTGTAGAAGGTGCTCAGCACAACTGCCAGGTCCACTAGAGGGATACCTCTGGGTGCTCTCCCAAGCCAGTGAATCCCAAGGGAGAACTGGAATTGGGGCGAGACGGCTTCTCTGGGACCTCTGGCAGCCTTTGGGGTAGCCGCTCAGGCTGCTTGTGGGGACAAGCCCTGGCGGTCCCTGCCTTGGAGGTGTGGGCCGATCATCTGCAGGTGGAGGGGGTGCAGTCTGGCTTTACTTCTGGACCAAAGACCCCAGAAGCAAGAGACATCCCAGGCAGGATAGGAGAGAAATGCCTCTGCCGTTCTCTGGCAACTCCTCCTCTTCAAGATAGTCTACCTCTGCAAGTGGAGGTTCCATCTGGATAGGACCCTTCCTTACCTGCACCAGACTCGGGAAAATAAAACTGTCTGGTAAGCAAGCTATTCTTGAGAGCCATTTTTCATTTCCCTCTTTTCAGATTAATAAAGGTGTCTCACAAGAAGTAGAAATAATGGTAAATAAAAATGCAGCCAATTGTTCAAAAACAAAACTTGTACATGTGGGGGGGTGGTGGTTGATCATAATGCCCCTATGGAGGGGTGGAAGATTGGATGGGTGGGGGTCTCCCTTGCCTCCTTCCCCTTGGTTTGGAAGGAGATGCAGGGAGCAGGTCAGCCCTTCCGGCTTTGGGCTGACCTCTGGGGCCATGGGCAGTGCCCGGACCTCTTCCGGGAAAGGAATGCAACCTCAGGTGCCACCCCATGCACACTGAGGGCTGCCAGCTCCCTCTGAACCCACCCTCCGGGGGTCTCTGCCCTGCGGCCAAGCAGCCCTGGCCATTCAGGATGGGGTGGGGGTGCATGCGGAGAAGCGCTCTTGACCTCCCCTTGTTTGACAGACCTTCTGGGGTTTATTTTAATGAGTTATTTAAGCAGTTGTAAGCCACCAACTTCTTTTAATGGCTTGCAGCCATCTCGTTAGAACATCAGAGGTACAATTACGGCAAAGTTTAAAACAATGAAGCTCTGGGTTTTAAATCAGTTAAATGTTATGTAGTTAAGAGGCTTGGAGAAATAGCTGTGCTCTGGGCATCCTCCCCACGGCTAGCAAAGAAGCAACTTGTTGCAGGCCGAGGCTGCCCAGGGAGAGCGGAAGGCACCGGAGAAGGACGACTGCAGGCACACGAGGACTCGCCAGATGGGCTGAGCCTCCACTCCCCACGGTCTTCTGCTGGCTGGTGCCTGAGTTACCAAAACTGGCTCTTTCTCCTCCAGGTGGGAGCCAGGCGGTTTCTCAGTCAAAGCTGCTCTGGGCTCTCTTGGCACCTGTCCAGGATTCTGCAGGACCAGGAGGTGCCCCAGGCTGCCACCTGGCACTCTGCAGGGGTGGTGTGACCCCACCTGGGCCATATGCAGGTCTAGACCCAGGTTGAAAAGGGTGAGGACAATGGAATTTCTGAGCAGTCGCCTTCTCCGCCAGCCTGGCTAAGTGTGGGATATCGGGCCTGTTTGAATTGGGGCAGGAAACTCTGCTGCCAAGAGCATTAATGTTTGTGGGCAAAGCTTTTAATGAGCCTTTATAGCCAATCCAGACAGGAACCCAGCCTACAGGTAGTAGCATAAACAGATTCTAGAAGCTTCCCCATTGTTGGACTGTGTGATGGACTCGGTAGGAATGGGTCCCGGCCCAAGCTGTGTGTGAAGCAGCACCCAGATTGCTCACAGTTGGGCTCCGATGCCATCTGGGCATCAGCCAGAATCACAAAAGTCATGGTCATCTGCTCAAAAAGTGTCCCTTGGACAGTTCTCCAGGGAAGCCACGTGCCTCCACAGAAGATGTGGCGATTGCCACTATTGTGCCTGCGCATCTCCACCAGTGGCCATATTTAAAAGGGCTGTCTCCTCTTTAAGACACCTTTTCTCAAGGTGAGATGTATTCTGCTCCCTTCCCTTCTTGTCTTCTAGTTCCTGCCATCCTCACTGCTGCTCTCCAAACTTGTTGAGGCCAGAGTGATGGTTTGCGTTTCTCCGGATTCTGTGGCCGGATGGGAAGAGGGGCTCGTTCCCTTCTAGGATCTGAGGCTTTATGTTCTGTGGGGCTTCCAGAAATTGCCTATGAACTGTTCTGTACTCTGTCTTGAGCCCTGGTGATCTGAACTCACGGGAGGTCAAGGGACCCTCCCTGATCAGGTCCCTGAGATGCCTCAGCTGGGATCCTGTTCCTTCCACCCACCCTTCTTAATTTCTCAGGGGAGCACTTATCCTCTCCTCAGAGGAGACTGCCCGCTCTCCCCGCCCTGAGCTGAGGATTCCTGACTTGTTATTTGTTGTTCTTTGGCTGCCTTCCCTGAGTATCTGACACACCAGTATCTGATTCTTTCTCTTCTGAGCTCAACGTATCTCAGAAGCTCATCTTGCTCTCCTGAACAGCATCTGAGAACTGCTGTGGCTTCTGGGCACGAGGTTTCGAAGCCGTTGCCACCCTTCTTCTGCCCTTCCTTGGCAGCTTCCCCTGCTTTGCCTGTCTCTGGTTTCTGCCCTTCTACAAGCACCCAGGGGTGACCGGGGCAGAAGGAACCCAGGACCCAGCACAATCAGCCCTCAGTGGAGAGGCCGGGAGGGGATCCAGAAAAGAATGACAAATCCCTTGGCAAGCTGGAGGAACGGACCTCAAATGTGGCAAAAATGCTAGCGAATGCCATCGTTCTGGAAGCTCAGAATACTGGCATTGGCTGGCATTGGCTGGCATTGTCCCCTCCGATGAGAAAAACACTAATGGATGCCTTTGAGAATGCTGCCGTTTGCTAGCTTTTTCCATCCCAGAGGGGAAAACACTAGCGAGTGCCAGCATTTCTGCCCCTCCAGTGGGGGAAACGTAGCAAATGCCAACGTTCTGAGGATGGCATTTACTAGCATTGTCACCAGATTTGAGGCCCGTTCTCTCAGGGCAGGGTGGGTTTTCTCTCCCTGCGTGGAGCAGAGGGGAAACACACACCCCGGTGCTGCAAGAACAGGCCTTGAATCCAATCCCCCCCCCCGCTTGCAACCTTTCCTTTCCTGCAGGCTTCTTCATCGACTGGGGAAGCCAGCAGAGAAAACTGCAAATGGCGATCACGTGATCGATTGCAGGGCACTTGGGTTGTAAATCAGAATAGTTTGCCAAGCACTTGAAGTGCAGTCATATGACGGGATGGCAAAGTGTTTTACGATGGCCGGAAGTGCTTTAGGGGCCATGAGCCACCTGTTCTTGAGGGTCTTGTAACTGCAGACAGAGAATAAATGAGCAGTCGTAAGTTGCGGACAACCATGAGAAAATAACAGAAAAAAGTGCCTTCTCTTGATTCGATTTAGCCAGGCAAAAAAGTTCTTAGTTTCCCTAGTATACAATTTCTGACCTTGATTAACTATCAGAGCCTTTCTCAGAATTGTAAGGGCCTGCCTCAACCCCAAAACATTAAATATTCTTATCAGTACCTAATCGAGGAAGCCCACTGCAGAAAGATCGGGAGCTGAGCTGAGAAGGCCGATTCTTCTCCTCCGGAATGTGTGTGAACGGTGAACGTAGACTTTGCTCTGCAGAGGACAGCCACACACGTTCCCAGTCCAGGAAATGGTTGTGGCTTCCATGTGGTAGACATTTGTGAAACAGAGAATCCACAGAGAGGCTGAGTTTCTCAATCTGAGAACTCAGAAAGAACCAGAAATGCCCTGGGTTTAAAAGCAGGCAGGCAGGCAGGCTGCAGAGATGCACCCGCCAGGCGTACAGAACTAAGAGCGCAGTCCTGTTCTAGGAATGAGTTTGACGTGACCCATGGCATGCTGTGCACCATGAGAAGAAATACTGGGATGGGATGCGGGGTGGGGGTCTGCTCTTTATGCCAGGCGCTGCCCTCTGGGGGGGGGCAGAAGTCTCCTGCCAGACGTGAAGGCTGTCAGGCGCCATCTCAGTGCTCTGCTACTACGCTTTGAGAGGCTCTTTCTGTGCCAATCCGCCATAAACTCTGGGAACCTGATGGGAGGGGGATCCTGTGGAGTCCAAGCTGAGGCAGGGCTGACAAAGGCCATCCATCAACTGTGTTCCTTTCTTTGCCTGGGCCCAAGCTGGCCCCTATCCTGGAAAAATGAGTTTTATTTGATCTGAAACTAGGACAGGTGCAGGAAACCCCCAGGCTGCCTCCTGTGTTCCCTGGGAGTTGTCCTGCTCCAGCACCGTGACAGGATGCCCACCTTATTTTCCCAGGAATGTTTCCTTTTGGCTTGGGAGGGGCAGGGGGCTGTGGCCAGAGGCGCTTAGCCCCTTCCCCCACCCCATCCTAAGAAAGGCTAAGCCCAGAAACCCACCAGCATTCCTTGAATGTGTTTGCAGCTTCTCCTCAGCCCAGGCCGGCTCCCTGGAATATTCGCCAGGGAACAAAATAGCACTAGCACTTATAGACCCCTTCACACAGTGCTTTGCAGCCCTCTCTAAGCGGTATACAGAGTCAGCATGCTGCCCCCAACAGTCTGGGTCCTCATTTTACCCACCTCGGAAGGACGGAAGCCTGCCTGTAGATAGGACAGAGAGAGAGAGAGAGAGAAAAGGGGGCTTGGGGGGACCAGTCGCCCTACGGCCGCAAAGATTTCATCTGAGAGGAGTAAGGAAGAAGACCACCTTATAAAAAGTGGGCCAGAAATGCCCCCCCGCCCCGACTTTCTCTCTGGGAAAATGTACACGTGCCATGTCTTTGGGTGGTGCTGCCACAGTCAAGAGCAGCAGTTTAATGACTGAAACATGCATCGCAGCGATAGCTGCCTTTCTTCTAATGATGTTTCATTTCCAAATCTCTACTCTATTGCAGGGATGGAGCACCATCCATCCCGACCCACAAGACTCCCTGGAAGGCAGGAGCAACCAGGTACTCCCATTTCAATCTTACTAGACCAGCTGTTAAACAGCAAATCTCTTGGTGTCTCCAGAGGGTGACCTGGAGAGGCCGAGTCCTCCCAGAATCGGCCGAGTCCTTCTCCCTCCGTGGGGGCAGATTCCCTGGCAGGGAAAGGAAAGAAATGCCAGAGAGACTCCCCGGATGGAGGGCCAAATCCCAGAGGAGCTGCAGGGCCAAGAAGAGGCAGGCCCTCGGTGCAGACTGCCCTGCCCAGGGACGCATCAGGGCCAAGAAGCTGTGGCTTGTGGCTGTGGCTTGTGGTGGGCTGGAATGTGCCTCCTTGCAGGGCCAGTTCCACATTGCACCACGTGAGCTTTAATGCACTCGAGACAGTCAGAAGGACTCAAGGCAGCAGGCTGTGGGCTAAGATTCAGGCAGGCCGAGGAAGGGGTTGTGGCTCAGAATCTGCATTAGCCACCACTCTGGCCATTTTCTCCAAGGCAGATGCTGGGTGGAGGATCCTTTGAGCAGCACTTGCGTTGCTAATGCAACAGGGTGCTGACGTGGGAGGATTCGGGTAGACGTTCTTGGTTCACGGGGCCCTTAGCAGTTTCCACACCACACCGTGCAATGCCCGAGGTGTCACAACGAATGCAGTACTTAACAGCTCCCTTTATTAAATAGTGAACTGTTCTGTGGCAGCCCTGAGGATTTGGGAAGGGTGGCATCAGCGATGGTTGCATTCACATCGTTAACCTGACAGGAGTGGGTCTGCAGTTCCTGAGAATAAACAGGCAGGTGTTCTGTGGGTTTTGCCTTAACTAAAGCCTCCATGTGCAAAGGCAGTGTAGCTCAGCATTACAGCGGGGCTGGGAACAGGTGGTGGGCAGCCTCTCCTCCTCTTCATTTCTGCTGAAGCCTTTCTTACTTGGTGTCCTGGGAGGCAGCTGGTGGGCAGGCAGGCCACCATGTGACCCACCCTGAAATCTTCGGCAGCAGCGTCCCTGGCAGCAGTTTCCCCAAAGACGTGGGTGGGTGTGAAGTTCTGGGCTGGGCTTTAGGTCTTCCTTGTGTCTTGGCAGTGAGTGTCACACACACAGAATAGGTCCCACGAAGGAAACGGTGGGCATTCAGAAGGGGGGGGGGCAGAAGGGCCAACAAGGAATGGGTGGCACCAAGAAAGGCACCGGCAGCAGTGCAAGAGTGGGCAGCAAAACTGGGTGCTGCAGAGTTTGGCCAATTCAGGGGACTGAGAGCAAGTTTGTGTTTGTCTTTGTCGGATGGTGGCTGAAAACAGGAGGAGGGGAAAGTGCTGTCTTTTCACCCTGGAGCTGCCTGTTGGGGTCTTGTGGTCTGCTTTAGAGAGAGGAATGCAGAGCAGAGCAAATGAAAAGCGAAGCCGAGGAACAGATCTTCTTACGGTGTTGCACTGGGCCTCCCAGCAGCAGAATCAATGTCTGGACCTCCTTCCAGATTGGGAGCCCCTACCATCTCTCTCAAGCACTGACCCCCGAGGGCTGGGGGTGCCCTCCCCATACGTGTGCGCAGAGGGCTCCGGACCCTTTTGCCCTTTTGCCCTTTGGGACTGCGGGGCTGGCTAAGTGTGGCTGAGCTGCCCTGTGGTGCATTTCCTCTTCCCAGGAGCTGCAGGAGCCAAGAGCGAAAGCCTGGTCAACCCCCCCACCAGGTGGGCAGACGTTGGTCCCCTTCCCTGCTGGCCCCTTAAAGAAAAGAAGTAATTCCAGGAAGGGGAAATTCCATCCCATTTCTCACCAGGGTGTCAGTCTGCCATCCCGTTCCAGATTCTGGACATGCCAGCAAATGCCAGAAGAAATAATACCCAAACAAGCCTCAGTGAATGTCTTGGTACGAAGGAACCAGATTTAGTCAAGTAATTTGAGGGGAGGGCAGAGTCAGGGTGGAAGCAAAGAACGGTGGTTTGCCTTGTTACCGAGAAGAAGGTCCATCCGAAAGCCAGCTGGGTTTCGGCTGCATCAGTGTGCATAGGTGGAGTCCAGGGGAGGCGGGAAGCAGCCCTCCTCGGATCTCCTAGGGCAGCCCTTGGCCACGACCGGAAGGGACCTGAGCTCCTGGAAAGGAAGGCGCCGGATGGATGGGTTAGTCAGTCGTCCCTCTGGGTACAGCTGTTCAGGCCGCTTTGCAGGGCAACTGTGGGCTGCCAACTAAAGCACCAAGATCAGCAAGTCTTTAGAGTTGTACGGTAGCCAAATTTTGCACCATTGCTATGACAGTTAGAAGCCTTTGGAGCTAATTGCTTCCCCGGTGGTGTGTCTAGTGTATGGTTGAATAGGTTTTATTGGCTGCTGTGTGATGTACTGTTGGGCTTCAGTGTGTTTGGTCTGTGACTGTATATTTTAATGAGCTAAACTGACAGCCAAAGGCAGGAGCTCAGCCAGGGCAAATCTCCCGCCTTCACTGCTTCTGGAGGGTCAGTGGGCGCCTCCTCCGCCTCCTCCTCCGCCTCCGCCTCCATCAGGAGCAAACCCACTCATTCTGAATGGAAACAGAGCACGGCTTCACAATGCTTTGAGCCGCCATCAAACTGGGCTCCTGGGGCTGAGCACCGGCAGGGTCAAGCAGTCCAGGCCTGGACAAAGTCAGGGCTCCCCTAGGGCCAGCACCACAGGGGCCAAGCGGGGCCTCGCCCAGGAGAGGTGGGTCCTGCCCCTGGGTGACGCCGGGTGTCCTCAGGCCACTCGCCAAAATGGGAGGGCAGTTCCCAGGCTTGGGGGCCACTTTTTGTCTCCCTGTCCTGCCTGAGGGCCACGAGGCCGAGCCGGGTTTTTCAGTCCAGCCGGGTTGTGCACATGGGGAGCTTCTGGGTGAAATGGGCACGTGAAGCCTTGCAGGGGGTTAAGGTCCCACTTAAAACCATACAACCCCCCCTCCCCCCCAAAAACCCAGGGGAGATTAGCTCAGTTTCGGCTGGCAAAAGGTTTTTAAGGCTGTATGTCCCCTTAAACTCCCCTAAGCCTCAAGATAATCATTTTTATCCCTTTCAATCCCTGCCCCCCAAACAAAAAGATGAGACCACGTAGTCCTCGTTTAGTGACTGCTTCATTCAGCAACTGCTTGCTGTTACAATACTGATGAAAAAATAACTTTTATGACCAGTCCTCCCATTTGCGACCTTTTCAAGTCTGTAAAGCTGACTTTGCAGGAAAGCCGAATTAAGGAAAGGGAGATCGTAAGCACAGCAGCTGTGTTTTTACTTGCCAGCTGCTTTGTTTAACGACTGAGTTGCTGGTCCCAATTATGTCACTAAATGAGGACTACTTGTACATTGCTGCCCACACCCATAGAGCACAATGGTCCGCCTCATTTCCAAGCCCCCTGCCTCGAAAGCTTTCAGCATCCAAATCTAATGGATTGACCCCCCCCTTGGCTCTTCCAGCTGTCCAGGAGGAGCGGCAACGAGGCAAAGACCGCAACGAGAATGAGGTTGAATCCACCAGCAGCGCTCACGAGGACATGCCGGTGGAGAAGATCCTGGAAGCTGAACTGGCGGTGGAGCCCAAGACGGAGACCTACATCGAAGCCAACATGGGCCTGACGCCTAATTCGGTAAGCAAGCGGCCCGTCTAGTCCCTGGATGGCCAGGTGGGAACTCTTGGGTCAAGGGCTCCAGACCCTCCTTTCCTGCTGGAAATGATGTCCTTCCACAAGGCCTTAGATAGCCGTAGCTCTCCTCTCCCTTCTTCCCTTTTTGGGTGGGGTGAAGGAATGGCCAGGACGGTCCAGCCATTCTCTTCCAGCCCCGTCGGAGAAGAGGGGCGTTTGAGAAGGAGCTTCTGGGGTGTCCAGGAAGCACAAACAGCCTTTCCACAACCCCCTCAAAGTCACAGGCAGTGAATGCGGAGGTGGCTGATCCAGATTTCTCCAGGGCCGGAGTGACCCTGCAGAGTCTCTGGGCAGGACTCCCCACTCCCAGGAGCAGTTGGGGCAGTTTGCCCTGGATGGAGGGCAAGAAGCCAGGAAGCGAGAGGGTGGCCAGAGGACCCAAGACATGCTAGAAAGGCTGTTCACCCAGCAGCCTTTCCCTGAGAATTCAGCAGAATTCCCCCAATTTCTCCTCCTCCTTGTTTCTCTGGGGTGAGAAAGGAGTTGTAGGGGAGTAAGCGCTTTCCGCCTTCCACAGACTCCCCGCCAATCCTGCCAAAGGGAGCCTGGCCCACCGCCAGTCTGCCTGTGACTCTCCTGGGCCATCCAGGACTGTTGGCCAGGCACAGAAAACAGTTGCTTCCCTCTGGCACCTGGGCGTGACCGCTGCCTGGGTTCAAAATCCCCAGGGGAGATGAGCACGGCCATGGAGCAGAGGAAGCAGCACCAAAAGAAGGCCCAGCTGCTCCTTGGAGGCGACCCCTGGTCAGGTTCGGGCATCTGCCCGGCTGGGAGGGAAGCCACGGGTGGCCCCCGCAGGGCATGGCGTTCAGTCTGAGATGCTCCTTGGTCAAGCAGCGCCTGAGGACGGGGTGGGTGTGCTGAGAAGGGAATCTGGGGCAGCCGGGTCCTCTGCACGCAGGGAGGTTGGTACCCCAGGGGCTGCCCTTGATTTTGTAGACTCAGGAGAACAACCCATTTCCCCCTGGGCAGCCGCCTTGTGAAGGGGTCTCCCGGTGCCAAGGCTTGCTGGGGGCATGGTGGGTCCTTCCCCAATGACTCCAGAGCTGGCTGGAGTGAGAGGCAAGGGGTGCTGGCCTCAGAGACCCTAGAGGACAAAGCGTGAGAAGACTGCAGCTGGAGACCCCCATCGGCAGGGGGGGAGGTCTCTTGCTTTCCCCCCTCCTCCGATGGCATCGCCTCTTTGTCTGGAGGTGCTCTGGGCTCCCTGGCCGAAGAGTCTGGCCTTGGACCGCTTGGCTGGCCTGGTTAGCTAACACGGGGGGGGGGGGGCTGCCTTGCAAGGGCCTTGGGAGACTCTCCGGCTGAGAGATGAGGAAGGGCAGGGAAGTGGGATCTGCTGCACGGGTCTCTCTGCCGCAGCTCCCCAGGGTGCCCTCTCTGCCCACTGGCTTAGAGCACTGATGGGAGAAGGAACGGGGGGGGGGGGTCTGAAGAGGGGAGCCTTAAGCGCTGCTTGTGAATTTCTCCACCGGAGGCCTCCTGTTGGGGTTGGGTGCCACAGCCTTCGATCCTGGTATCCGGGAACTTCGCCAAAGGGGCTTCTTTGGGGCAGGGGTGTTTCCCGTCGGAGCTGCACATCCTTCTCGCCCCTTTTCCTTCCAGCTCTGCTTCCTTCTCTCTGACTCCCAGCCCCTCAGATGCAGACCTGCTCCCCTTGGCATCTGCCTGGCTTCAGAGCAGCCCCCGAGTCCCTCTGTGCACGGGAATGGCACTGCAGCCCTGGAGGCAGAGGGGGCCACTTCAGCTCCAGACTCCTGCCTCCCCTCCCCCAGGGCCTCCATTGCTCCCTCCTTCAGGAGGCCAGGCTGGATGTGCACCCTTCTCACTCCTTAACGTCTTCGCCAAAGCTGAAAGGATCCAGGTGTGAGAAATGGAAGACAAAACGCTGGCAAGAACTATCTCGTGGGGATCTCACCTCCCCAAGACACCCTGACTGTGCTTGGGGGGGGGAATGGATGTCCCCGCAGCCCAAAAGCAGCAGCAACCAAGGAAGATTAGGAGAAGGGCAGCCCCTTCGCAGAATCCAGGTTTCCAAACCTGCCCACTTGTATTTCAGGGGCAGAAGGGATTGCCAACTGCCCCCTTCAGTGCACGCAGGGCAGGAGAGGCTGCAGGGGGCTTTTGGCCTAAGGAGGGGGCCTGCAGGGGACGGGGAGAGTGGCAGGCCCTCTGACGCCCCACGGGGGGGGGGTCTCTTCTCTTGGCAGCCCAATGACCCGGTCACCAACATCTGCCAAGCGGCAGACAAGCAGCTCTTCACACTGGTGGAGTGGGCCAAGCGGATCCCCCATTTCTCGGAGCTCCCACTGGACGACCAGGTCATCCTGCTCCGAGCCGGTGAGTAGCGAGTCGGCCCGGAGCTGCAGTCTTACCCCAGATGGCAGGGCCAGGACTGGGGCTCAAACAAGAGCAAAGGAGTCTGACATGAGGAGGAATGTCCTGATGGTGCCACCTAAGGAGCCAATTCTTCTTCACCAGAGATACAAAATACAGAATAAGGAGAGTTGGAAGGGACTTTGGAGGTCTTCTAGCCCAACCAAGCGGGAAACCCTGTCCCATTCCAGACAAGCGGCTGTCCAGTCTCTTCCTGAAAACTTCCAGTGATGGTGTACCCACAACTTCTGAATTGTTGCACTGATTAATTGTTCTCATTGGCAGGAAATGTTTCCTTAGTTCTAGTTGAATCTCTTTTTAATGGTCTTCCATCCATTACTTTTTGTCCTGCCCTCAGGTGGACCCCCTCTTCTCTGTGACAGCCCCTCAAGTACTGGAAGAGTATCACGACACCCCAGCCCTTCTCTTGGTTAGACTAGACATAGCCAGATCCTGCAGTCGTTCACCGTATGCTTTAACCTCCATCTTTGTTGCTCTTCTCTGCACTCTTTCTAGAGTCTTGACATCTTTTTTGCATCATGGGGGCCAAACCTAGACACAGCATTCCAGTTTTGGTCACCACGATTGAAAAAAAGAGGTCAAGACTCTAGAAAGAGTGTAGAGAAGAGCAACAAAGATGATACTCAAATAGAGGCTGGATGTCAACCGCCTACAAAACTCTTATCCTGCACTGAACAGAAGGTTGGACTATATGGCCTCTAAAGTCCTCCCAACTCCATGGTTCTGCTCACCACCTGCCTGTTCTCCCCCATCCCCCCAATCCTGCAAGCCCAGGAGGGCTTGGGTGGTAATCAGGATGGAGCAAGAGAGGGAAAAGAACTGTGGTGGTTAATACTAGCAGCCTGTACCGAGGAGGAGAGGGATATTCAGCCCCACGTGCAGAGTGCAGCCTTAGGCAAAGCCCCTCCCACCTGGGAATATGGGAAGCCTCCTAGAAAGGCTGAGGAGCTGAAGTGGCTGAAGCTTCCCAACCGCTTCCTCTGGGGCATCTTGGCAAGCAGGTCCCAGTTCGCACCTCTGGAATCATTCGGGGAGTTCAAATCCTTGTGAGCTGCAACCACAGAAGCTTCTCCCAAAAGTTGTTTATTGCTCTCGAAGGGCTGTTTATTTCCTCCGCACACATATCTGGGGCGGAGAGCGAAGGACCCAGATCCAGCGACTTCCTTTAGACTCCAAATGTGGGGGGAAACTGGCTGTAGCAAGTCAAAGGAGCTGGAAGGGGGCTGGCTGCGGGGGACAGGGCAACAGGTGTGGAGGGTGCAGGTCAAAGTTAGGGTGATCTGGAAAGCTAGGCCTGAGCCCCGCCACCTCGGCCTCTGCCTGCCTGCCTGCCTGCCTGCCTGCCGTTTATCTCGGTTGCGACGGCTACTTGGGCTGGGAATTGCAGCCTTCGCACAGCCAGAATTGCTGATTGGAAAACTCAGGCAGTCTGAGGGTCCTTTTGTGGACTTTGCAGTAGCAGCAAAGAGACCCCCCTCCATCGGCTGCTGCTTTCAAGACTCCCCTTCCCCAAAAGCCCCGTTCGTCAGGGTGGAGCCACCCAGCCTGCCTCGGAAAAGAATTCTGCTTGAACGATTGAGCGGGAAGAAAGAAACTGGTGTCCTGGTCCCCTTTCAGATGGGAGCTGTTCCCACTGTGGGAAAGGCGAGGGTGGCGTCCATGGGTCTCCCAGACCTTCTGGGCATTTACTTCTTTATCCCACTATTGGATCTCAGGTAGAGACTGGCTTGTTATTCAATTTCCTTCTGCCCCAGAGCCAAGATAATTAGTTTCTTCCTGAAATGAAGCTCTGGGGCGCAATGCCCCCCCCCTGCAAGGCTTTGGCTGACTTCTCCACCCCTCCCCCCTTGCTTTTCCCCAGGTTGGAACGAGTTGCTGATCGCCTCCTTCTCCCACCGATCCATCGCGGTCAAAGACGGGATCCTCCTGGCCACAGGCCTCCACGTCCACAGGAACAGTGCCCACAGTGCGGGAGTCGGGGCCATCTTTGACAGGTGAGGAGCAGCGGCTGGTGGGAGGGGCACCCACGGCCTTGCCCGCTCCCCTCTTGTGCCCGGGACCCAGCCGTGGCCTTTGTGGTGAAGGACGAGACCACGACCGGCCCTTGGGATGCCGGAGAGTCCACGAAATGCTCTCAGCCCCCCTGCAGAAGGGGCAGGGAAGGACCGTTGGCTTCAAAGCAAGGCCAACCTAGGCCACTTCCTCTTCTCTTGTGGCACCTGCAGGGTATTGACCGAACTTGTGTCGAAGATGCGAGACATGCAGATGGACAAGACCGAGTTGGGGTGCCTGCGAGCGATCGTCCTCTTCAACCCAGGTAACTGAGCTCCCTCCTCCGCAAGGAAGGACAGGGAAGATTCCCCCACCCACCCACCCACCCTTTGGCCATCTGCCCTTCACCCAACGCAAAACTGGTGCCAGAGCAGGGAGAAGGTGGCAGCCCTTTTCGCTGTGGCTGGGCATCTTCTGTCAGCAGGACAGGCTTTCCTTGCTCCAACTCTCTCCTTGCTGGGAGGAAAGGAGCGTTCGTGAACAAGGAGATCTGAGCAGTTCTTTCCAAGGGCAGCTTGGTGGCCCCACGTCTTCAAGGCGGATACAGGAAGTCCTCGACTAAGAACCCACAACTGGAACTGGCATTGCCATCATCAGTTGGTGTGGTCGTAAAGCGAGACAGCAATCCTGGCACTCCCCATTGTGGTCGTTAACTGAGAATCGCAGGTCATTAAGTGAGTGCCCACCCAGTCCAAGCCATTCCAGGCTCGATCCCTCCTGGCCCCCCGCCTCTGTAAGGAAAGGCACTGCCTCCCGCTGCCTGTCTCCCCCCCCCACTTCTGCCTTTTGGCTTACAGGGCAGCCAGCATGGCTCCGGGGCTGCCTGCCACGTCCTGGGAAGCCTCAGCCGGCCAGCACCCACCCGGCTGCCTTTGCTCCCCGTCCCCTGCCTGCCCTTTTGCCCGTTGGGCCCGGCCGTTGTGGCCCAAGCAGAGGTGCCTCACCGCCCTTGCCGTCTCCTCCTTGGACCAGCTCCTCTGGCAAAGGATTCCTACCCGCGGCTTTGGCACACTCTGCGGCCCTCATCAAGCCCGGCAGCCTTCGGGAGGCTCTGCTTCTGCTTTGGCTGCAGCAGCTGGCACAAAAGGCGAAAGGCTGGCGCAGGGAGTGTGGGGAGAAGGCAGCCGGGGGAAGGAAGGCTGGTTGGCTGGGACGGCGGGGGCTTCCCAGGGCGTGGCAGGCGGCCTAAGAGCCACGCGGTTCTGGGGCTCTTGCTGCCCCACAGGGCAGAGTGCAGGGTGGCCAAAAGGGCCTATTGGCGGGAGGAGGTGGGGCAGTTGAGGCACCCAAGCTGTCGTAAGTGCAGGCAGGCTGCCAAAGGCCCAAATTTTGGTCATGTGATGGGGGGGGCACTGCAACGGCTTGCAACAGGTCATTAGTCCAGTTTTTCAGCATCATCATAACTTCCAGTGGTGACTGAACAAATGACCACAAGGTCAGGGACCACTTGTGAAGGCAAGGTGAGAGTTTGGGGTCCCCACCCCCCGTAAAGCACCTAAGCAGAAATAAGGGTTAAAGTTTGTAATTTTTTCAAAAAGTTTAAATTGCAAGTTGTGAGAGGACCATTCTTGAACTGATTTCATCTGTGAATAACCGTTCCTCTCAAAGACCAGGGGTCCTACTCAAGTGGGCCTAAAGACAGGCTGATCCACTGTTGGTCGCTTGACTCCTTAAGAGTGGAAAGAATAGAAACCAACACACGGAAAATAGGTAGAGACCCCGACTTTTGAGCTCTCACACTTCAGAGGAAGCCTTCAAATATGAGTCTCCAAAATGTAGAGGGGTAGAGCGGGAGGAGGAGGAGGAGGAAGAAGAGCCATTCTTCCCAGAAGCCCCTTTACTGCAGCCTGGAAGTCTTTCAAAGCATCTACATTTTTAAGAGATGTAAAAATCTTAATTAACATCAGCAATGTGCATGTGCTGTTATGGTCAGCTGTAGTAGGAGCAGAAACTGGGTCTTAAGGAGGATCGGGGGGCAGGAGCTGAGTAGCCGGGGCATCGCAGGGTGAGGACTTGGGACGGGGGAAAGGACAGCAGCCTCCTGATATCCAAAAGGATGTTGCAGTGGAAAGAGGCCCAGATTGCTCTACCATTCCCCAGGGCAGGACACTCGATTAGATTACAGGGGGCCAGCTGCGAAGCTTCCTAATAGCAAGAGGGGTTGGAAAGCAGAGTCAGTGCGCAAGAGAAGTAGGACTCCCCAATGCTGGCGGGCTTCAAGTTGAGTCTGGAAGCCCCCCACCTGCCGGGGTGCCCTAATTCCGACTCTTTGGGCTTCTTTTTGATCCTGCAGTCAGACTTAGGGGCGCAGGGAACCTCTCTCGAAGAGGGGCCTTCCACATCCCTGTGGCTGGGCGTGCCCGCATGCCAGGCTGAGGGCTTTCCTCTGCGTTGATCATCCAAGTGCTATTCTGGGTTCAGCTTCAGAGAGCGAGAGCCTCCGGGAGCTTCCATGGAGAGGTGCTGTCACAGCGCATTAAGGCCAGGGGACTTTGCAAAACCAGGCCATTACAGCAGGAGACCTGCAGAAGGACCAGTTTGGCAGACAGCCTGACCGTTCAGCTCCTTGGGCCCTCTTAAGCTTTGGGGGGGGGGGAAATCCTACTGGATGGTCTTTGGGAAGAAAGCTTTTTGTAAGATGAGAGTGTCAGATTAGATAAATGAAAGAAGCATCTGAGAGAGAAACTGAATTTGTCAGGTTATGAAATCCTGACTAATTGTGGAGCAACATGGAGAGGAACGGGATGATGTAGAACCAGATTCCATCAAGATCATTTTGATGTTCTCTCGTGCGATCCCGTCTTGGCTCTCATGTCAGGTTCCCACTCACAAAACTCTCTTGGGCAGCATCAACTTGGTCTTCGGTGCCCGTTGGGGCTGCTGTCATCTCAAAGCAGAGACTGAGTTGTGTCTTACGGCTGCGGTGCCGGTCGCTAGACAGCCTGTGTTCCCTTCAATGGCCCTGGCCTCCTTGGGGGGGTCTTGAACGGTCTCAGGCTTTAAGCCTTCCCTTCCCTCCTTCTCTCGCAGACTCAAAGGGCCTCTCTAACCCTGCTGAGGTTGAAGCACTGCGGGAAAAGGTCTACGCCTCACTGGAGGCCTACTGCAAACAGAAGTACCCTGAGCAGCCAGGGAGGTGAGTCTCTTCTCGCTTGGGGTGCCCTTTGCACAGCCTTCTCATAAGCAGAGAGCTGGGTGCGAAATAACCTTGTGAGCAGGAGGACGGCCAGCGCTTGCTTGGTCTGGCATCAGCTCCCCGAATTCCTCTCGGCTCGCGTTCTGACCACCTCCAGGATCAACTGGGCAGGGCACGGGAATTTCCTGAATCTTGCAAGACGTTCATCTTTCGTGGGTGGTCTTTTTTTTAGCAGAATTCTCCCCTCCCATTTCCTCTGCATGATGAAATCAGAGTAACCTAATGGTAATTAACGACTGAGGCTGGACGGGGGCCAGGATCCCATTGCTGCTCTCCAGACTGGCTGCCTCCCAAGCTGGAGGCGGCTGCTGAGAGACGGTTGACTCCGCTGGCCGAGAGGTTTGCCTTCCGAGCCCCCTGGAGGGCAGGAGCACGACTGGGCCCCCCCAGCTTCTCTAAGGAATTTGTGGCTGGGGAGGGAAGCCCCACGCGCACAGACAGAGAAGGAAAAATCCCCCCCCCCAGCAATGGGTCAGTCTCCTCCCTGGGAGCAGTTTTGCTATGGCCCATCTGGGCCTTGTGGTGCCAGACCTGAGGTGTTTGCTGCTGGGGAGGGGGAGGTGTGTGTGTGGGGCTGTTGGTGGCTGCTTTTCTTGCGAGATGCCCCTCCTGCCCATGACGGGGCCAAAGGAAGCCAGCCAAGCCAACACAGGCCCCTCCGCCTTGCTCTTCCCTGGCCACTCTATGGGGATGTGACCATCGATGCAGCCACCCCGGCCCCCTCCCGAAACACCCACCCGCCCCGTCTTCCTGTTATCTTTCAGCCAAGTGATTCTTAAAAGCTGGTTGTTTCATAGTTAAAATGTTTCTGTACATCTGTCATCTGTTTTAGTTTAAATATGAAGCGTTTGGGCTTGAGGGAAGAGACTGGTAGGGGCTGGGTTTGGATTTTCCTGGCCCTGCGCCCTCCCGCCCGCTCTACTTGCCAGCTCAGCATCTGAAGGAAATGCTAGTCAGGATGCAGCCCTCCCCGTTCTGCCCGCCCCCCCTCCGTAGCCAGGAGTGCAGCAGCCCTCAGCCCTTTGAGCACCCTGGGGAGGACCCCAGACCCCTCGTGGAGGGCCTGAAGGGAAGAGCAATGGGGAAGGAGGGACTGAGAACACCAGAGGGGCTGCTGGAGCCCACAGTCTCTCTCTGCGTGTGCTTGTGTGTTTGTTGTGGCATTTCCTGAATCAAAGGAAGCAGCAGTGAGGTCTGGAAACTGGGGGCCAAGGGCTTGGCCAGGGTGTTCCGGGAAGGGCGCACTGTCTCTCATGCGCCCTGGTGACGGTCGTTTGCACAGCCAGCTCTGCCTGGTCATTCAAGGGCCCTTAGCCGATCGACACAAAGCCAAACCCGTGTCCTGCACTTGGGCCACCCACTGAGCCAGGCACCAGGTTCATGAATAGAAGGGCTGCGAACACCCGGAAGCCCAAACCAACCATCCACATCGTGGCTTACCGGGCAGGCTGGGTCATTCCACAGGCTAAAACTGGGATTGGGGCCCAACTGGCTCCCAGCCACAGGAGCCAGATGAACCACACAATGGGAAAATGGTGGCCGAGGGGCCAGTGCAGCTGATTTTAACATTAAAAAGCCAGCAATAGAATGAAGAAAAGAACCATTAATCGCCAGAGCTGCCTGGCCTTCTTCCGGGAGGCCTGGGCGAAGGAAGGCCGATTTTGCGGGAGGCCCTTGAAAAGTCTCCTTCTGTTGTGACGCCCCTCCCTCTTTTCTAGGTTTGCCAAGCTGCTGCTCCGCCTGCCCGCCCTCCGGTCCATCGGCCTGAAGTGCTTGGAGCACCTCTTCTTCTTCAAGCTCATAGGGGACACGCCCATCGACACCTTCCTGATGGAGATGCTGGAAGCGCCACACCAGATGACTTAAAGGACGCTGGGCCGGGCCAGCTGCTCTCCTCAGCCCAGGGGGCTGCCTGCCACTGGGACCTCCGCTCTGAGACCCGTCCTGCTGCCACCTCCCCCCCACCCCACCGTGGAAGGGAGGCTGCCTGCCCCATCCATCCCCCACCACCCCACCCAGGAATGTTGGCCTGGCTGGCTTGGCCCTTTGCTGCTTCCGCAACCAACCTGCGTCTGAGGACAACCAGCTTTTGCAGGTGGAGAATTGTTCGAAGAGCAACTGCTGCCTGCTTGCACTTGGGGCCCTGCCCCTCCTCCCTCAAGGCTTTGGTTCCCCCCCCCCCCAGGTGCAGAAGGCTGAATTTACTCCAACTCCCTTGAAGGGTTTCCGGATTCTGTGACGCCGTCTTTGTTTAAGAACAAGGGATTGTGGGAAACACGTCATGTGTTGGCAGAGGGCGTACGAGAGGCCGGGAGGGCGGCCAGCTGCCCCTGTAGAGAGATGGCACTTCCTGGGCATGGGCCGGAGCAAGGCTGCCTCCTCAAGCCAGGGGTGGGCAGTGCTACCAGCCAGCCTTTGCGGCCCCTCGGCTGCCCCTGCTGGCTTATGTGGGCAGACAAGGAGGGCAGATTTGTCTTTGCTGGCAGATGGCAGGGCGAGCCACCCTGCGCAG